TTTTTCGTCTCGTCCAGTCCTAGCTTATTCAGCTCGCACGTGCTCATTACCTTATTTGGTAGCCCTAGCCCTAATTTGGTAGTGCTGCTCAACGTCACAAAACTGTGAGGGGTAGGGTTGGTAAATCTCTCGTACATAATCGCTACAGGGATTCTACAGGGAAAGGAAAACAACATCGCGCCCAGACTCGCGATTTCTTTCAATTTAACCAGCGTTGACAAAAGTTGGTGAATCGATTGTACAGACACGTTTCCATGTTTATTTTATTATTATTTTGATGAGATAAATATTTTCTACTTTAACCTGAAGTCGGCGTAATAATCCAGTTACAGTAGGGAGCTTAAGCACCAGCGACGGCGACGGCAACGAGAACGGCAAAAAGGCAATAGGGTAAGATTGGCAAAACAACAACTCTGCACGTTCATCACGCTTTTTTGTACATTACTTTGCCGTCGCTGCACGACTGCAACGTGAAAGTGCCTAATTTCACGTTGTGTCGAGGACGTGAACACAAGACAGCGACTTTCTTTTTCTTTTCCTGAACTTTGATACAGTCTTTTAGAATTTAACTCCAGAAAAATTTGACAACATTTGACGAATTGAACGAGTTGGAATAAGCGCGATAAAGTTTGAAGTAGCGCGAATTCGCTTTTTGAGTGACGTTTTCGTAGCCGTTGCCGTAGTTGTTACTTAAGCTCCCCATTCACACAAGAGAGTAGTTGCCTAGCACGTGATGAGTTTGTGGTTATAAGGGAAGGGTATCATATGCTGATATTTTTATTGTTGGGCACTGTACTGCACTGCTTTAGCTGGAATGGGCTATTTCCAGTCTTGAATTAATTAGAATAAACTTCCCCATAACTTTCTAGAATCACCTCCGCTCGTAGAACAGTGTATGACAGATAGCTTCAGCAATGCGTCTGAAAGTGAAGAAGTGGCTTACTAATTCTCAGTTTGAATTACGAGAAGAATCTTAATTTAAAAAAAATCTATCGAGCGGTTTAAAAATTATTCACTAATTTGTTAAAGTCCGGATACATACTAATCAAATCCTTCTTTGAAGCAATTGGCCAGAGCTATCTCCATGACCTTTCACACACGTGAGGTGAAATTGAATGTCAAAAGCGCTTCCTTTTTTTCAGATAACGGCCAAGCATCAAGCTTTTCCTTTTTTCAGTTACTGATTTCTAACGATAAAAACTTCATCCCAAAATATCTCGATAACGCTCTCACAGATTCCGTTTTAACTTCACGAACATCGAGGCGACTATTGGAGGAAAAAGCTCCCGTGAACGATTTTGGAAGAACAGTTCCCAGTAAGAAATATTGTAGCAAGTATGATAGGTAATGGCGTCATTTCGTTGCTATGACAACTTCGATGTCATTGCAACCCTGATCATGACCAATTTTCTTCTTTACCTAACACAACTGTGGTGGCAATATTTTTCCAAACGTTTGTTTAGAGCGTCGTAGTTTATGCTCAAACTTGGCAGGTATTGACCCCGAAAAACTGTATTCAGTCACTTTCATATGCCAGTTCGGCCTATGTTGTTGCATCGTATGGCCCTCGCTTCTTTTCTACTGTTTTGTAAAAATTTGGGCAACTTGCAAGAATTTTTTGGGAAAATGGTTTACCACCCCCTCGCTTGTATTTCTGTGGCGTTATTTAAACTTCGCTTGAGTGTTTTGAGCCGTATTTCGTAGATTATTCCATGCTTAATTTGGTGGCAAGTTCCCGGTGGCTGAATTCCGTAACACAGCTCTGACTTGTAAAGCAAACCCTGAGATGTTTTATAATCTTGTGCAGAAAAACGTTAATTTAATTTTCTGTGGGAAAAGAGTTTCCTTTACATTCATATTTCGTGTAATATTCCACGTTCTGAGGGGAAACCCATCGATAACTCAGTGGGAATAGTTCTTGTTTAGCACGTTCAATCATATTCCTTAGACCCAAATATGCTTCCACCTCGCTTTCAACAACTATTTGAAACTATTTGGTTTCTGTATCATGCAGTTAAAAAATAGTGACAGGTATGTTGTCTCTACCAGGGGAATGTAGCAGTAAACTAAGGCTGCATTAATTATGTATACTACAGGGGGGGAGGGGGGGGGGCGTAGGATTTTTTTTAACAGAATAGGGGGAATGGTAAACATTTATGAAGGCAGGAAGGGGGGATGCCAGTTTTTTAGATCTCATTGAAAGATTAAGTATTTGTAACATTATTGATAAACCACTACGCAAGTTAAGTTCTTCATTTTCTTGTTCAATGAAGGTTGTTTTCGTTATTAATGCACTAAACTGCAATGTCCTTTGCTTTGTGCAGTAACCAGCGCTATCTACATAATCATTACCACATTTACTTTTATCCTGCTTTTATTAATAACGTCACAGATTGTTTTCATTCTCATTATCATCATCATTGTCATCATAATCATTATCATCGTCATCACCATTATCATCATCAAAATTAACCAACCTTTCTCATTTTCAAAGCTTTTAAAGTTATGATTAAGTCTTCAGCTTCTTTGCGCACAAGATTTAAATCANTATTCTGTACCATCTCATATTAGAGTATATAAATGAAGTTGACTATGTTAAATGAAATAAAATAAAAAAAAATTAGTAGGTAGTGTTAAGATAAAAGGAGGATAAATAGATAAAATAAGGGATAAAAATATTTTTAGAGGAGGGGGGGGGGGGGGGGGGAGCTTTAGGATTTTTTTTAACAGAATAGGGGGAATGGTAAACATTTATGAAGGCAGGAAGGGGGGATGCCAGTTTTTTAGATCTCATTGAAAGATTAAGTATTTGTAACATTATTGATAAACCACTACGCAAGTTAAGTTCTTCATTTTCTTGTTCAATGAAGGTTGTTTTCGTTATTAATGCACTAAACTGCAATGTCCTTTGCTTTGTGCAGTAACCAGCGCTATCTACATAATCATTACCACATTTACTTTTATCCTGCTTTTATTAATAACGTCACAGATTGTTTTCATTCTCATTATCATCATCATTGTCATCATAATCATTATCATCGTCATCACCATTATCATCATCAAAATTAACCAACCTTTCTCATTTTCAAAGCTTTTAAAGTTATGATTAAGTCTTCAGCTTCTTTGCGCACAAGATTTAAATCAACTTTCACAGCTTAGAAGGAATGTAAATGGTCAGTAATAATTTGTATGTTGGCTCTGCAGTTATGCTGCAATCAGAATGATGTACATGACTACAGGTCGAGCGCGGTTCTATAATCAAAAATGATCATATGCAAATTCCCATCTAGTTGGTGGCAAATCTTTAGAAAACTTCTTTGATTTATATCAAGGATGGAATTTCTTAGGATAGAAATTTCTTACTATTGCGGTGTCATTTATGGATATCGAACGAGGAATACAATGTCTGTAGAAAGCTTCCCTTCTAATAAGCCACAATTGGTAGCTGGTTGAGAAAATTTTATTCTTGTTTGAGTTAAAAGACCACATAGTTTTCAGTACGGAACCTGAAGCTTTCTGTGGAGTAGGCAAAGTGGCACTGATCGCAGTGTATTTTTCCATTTTAAGTAATATTCTCCGCACCATTTCATCATATTGGCCATACCGTAAAATTCCGAAAATAAGCCCCTTCATGTATAAGCCCCTCCAAATATAAGCCCCTCAAACGGGTAACGAAAAAAATCCTTCGTTAAATCGCCCCTCCAAATATAAGCCCCCCGGGGACTTGTACTTGGAAAATTACCCTCAAATACAAAGTAAAACAAAGCAAAAACGGTAGATTTAGTTCCAACTATAAGGCTAGCCCAATCGATTTTGAAACGCAAATTTCCCTCCGTATATAAGCCCCTCCAAAAATAAGCCCCTCAAAAAGGGCCTTTGAAAAATATAAGCCCGGGGCTTATTTTCGGAATTTTACGGTATTTTACTTTCCTCGTCGAGACTGAGTAGGGGGGAGGGGGGTTGTCGTTTTTTTTATTCTGGTCAAGAGAGGGGAATGTCAAAAAATGTGTATGTGGGGGGATGTTGAAAAAAATTTGCCTCTTTGGAAAATACCTTTTTCCCCCTCCCCCCCCCCCCCCCCCCCCCCCCCCCTCCCCCCCCCCCTCATACCCAAATAACCCATCAACATAACCTCAAGAACGCAAACCCCCGGCCCCCAAGCAGAAAAGACGACAACGATGAGCTCAACACACAACAGACACAAAACAAAGTTTTTGTTTTTAATTTTGGCGGTTTTTTTTGTCTGCGGTGGAGTGGGGGAGGGGGGGGGGGGGTTTTTGTTTTTTTTTTTTTGGGTAAAAGGGGGGAAATTAAAAAAATGTGTATGGTGGGGGGTTTTGAAAAAAATTTGCCCTTTTTGAAAATACCTTTTTCCCCCTCCCGCCCCCCCCCCCCCCCGTTTGCAGTATACATTATGAATGCAGCCTAAGTACCAGCTTAATCGCAGAGGGTCGTAGCCGCCATGAGGCAAGACGAGGAAAGCGCCTCGACTGGATTTAAAACAAGATTGAATATTCTAAAAATGCCAAAAATACAATGTGGTGTTTTAAAGCCTCTATATTTTGCAGTTTTCTGCGTTAAAAGTCTGGCTACGTTTCTGGATCGTGGCATAAATCTTTGAATTTTCTATACTTCTAAGTAAACTCTTATTCTTCAAAGAAACAATCACTGTGCAGTTATCTTTCTAACTGCTGCAAGAACGATAAACGATTGCGTCTGGAGACTAGCTTACTGGATATCAGTATGAAACCTGATGTCACCTCTTATTTGTTAAACCGATTCTTTTGTTACTTTCAGATTCGATTCCAGCCTTTGTGCGAGCTAGAGGAGAAAAGGCACTTGCTGCTTATCACAGGGCCCTTGAGACTGGTGGTAGCACATATGATAAACGTGTCAAGGTTTTGCTCGTAGGGCAAGACCGTGTGGGGAAAACGAGCCTCGGTAAAGCTCTAAGAGGTGAACCTTTTAATGCAGTCGAACTTAGTACTGAGGGACTTCAAATGTTCCCTGCTATCAAGAATGCTGGAACAGGCGCGTGGAGAAATCCAGCCTCTCTAGAACACACAACAGTATTTGATCATAAGGTTGCCGCAAAGACCGCTGAGGATTTATTAAGCAAACATTCGGAGCAGCAAGCAAAGAAACGACCAAGAATTGTTGCCTCTAACAAAACAGATCAGTTATTTGTTGAAGATGGTAAGTCCTAAACATATTCGTTTAATTCTATTTTTTTCCCCTCAGTGATAATTATTTCAAAAGAACCCTAACAGAAACGTGGGACTCCACCAAAAAATACTTGTTGAAATCACTAGTAAGTGCCTCCTATATTTGTGATAAAATAAATAGGAGCAAAAGTTTACTCTTGTTTTTCTATCCTACTTGCTGATAAAATCTCGAGTTCGCCGTCTAATTGTTATATAAAAGCTGTTCGTTTAATTACCGGCTACAGAGAGTAGTGTGGGGAGCGATTTAGAAAAAGGGGCAATTAGAGACAGTACTTTACCAAATACAGTTAACGACAAAAAACAAATAAACCTAGCAAAGTCTGGATTAGCCGCGGCCATATGTGTATTAAAGATCCAGAGCCTAGTTTAAGTAAGGAACAAATTAAAACGTTTGTATTGTTTGCATTCATTTGTTGGTGTAAGGGAGGAAGCGTTCCGTCCAGTTTCTGCTGATAAGAACAAAAGAAAAGAATCAATCGTCATTCTTTGCGAGGATAGTTATTTTCAGGATTTACTCAGGAGCAGGTATCGATTTACTATCGGAACTATACGTTAATTTTACGATTTCATCCACAGACGCAAATGGTAGAACCGTTTGGTACTGCATAACAAATAGCATCACATCAAATAGTTCTGCTCGATAGCTTTCATTTGATTTGTCACATTTTTTATTTTGATGGAATCCACAGACATTTCGAAATTCGGAGCACATTACGGAACCTAGTGGATCGTGTTCCAAAGGGGCTGAAGATGCTGTTAAAAAGGAGTACTTGGCAGAAGCTGTTAACTTACGATTTTTCTCGGCCTGGTTTTCCTTGACCTCACTAGGAACTTCTTCCTGCTGGCGGAGTTGAGATTTTCTTTCATCAGCTTTTGACGAAATCGGGATTTCTGTGTGGTTATAGAAATAAAAGGCAATGCGAGAAATTAGTGTTGTAATATATAGCCTGATCTGAAATATCGAAAGCCGAGTCAGAGGGATGGATTTCCTTAGCCTGCGTCGAAGACACTCTAAACCTTTTGTATAGGACTATACAAATGGTTTTAAAAGACGAAAATTGCGTGGGCAGGCTGCAACGCAGGCTAGGATTTCCTCTCATGGCCAATGAATCTGCTACCTTGTTCTCTCCACGGGCATGCGTTCCGCCTTTTTTACTTACGATTTTTCTGGGCCTGGTTTTCCTTGACCTCTCTAGAAGCTTCTTCCTGTTGGAGGAGTTCAGCTTTTCCTTCATCTGCTTCTGATGACATCGGGTTTTCTGTGTGGTTATAGAAAATCAAAAGCGTGGAATGTAAGAAATTAGTGTTGAAATATATAGCCTGTACGGTACAACACTCAGACATTATCCGCCTTCAGGCTTGAAAGATCAGAAGTGAGAGAGATAGATTTCCTGTGATGCGGGCCTATGAGTCTACTACCTTGTTCTCTTTCTAGCTACATGCAAGCGCTGTACCTGTTTTGATGTTTTGCCCCCGATTGCCTTAATTTTATGTCGTAGAAGAAGTGTGTTTTCTGGATATTTCTACCCCGTTTAAGCAAACTGAAGACATTTCTTCAAAGAAAATTTAATTCTTTATCGTAAACCAAAGAGCTCCTAAATGAGCTTTCTGGGCCAGAACGCAGTTAGAACTTTGGAGCAACAGCCTCGGGCTCAAGACAATTGCATTAGCGTGAATATACTAGTCAAGAGTTTCACTAATAACACAGAAAATTATTTTTGTTCCAGAAGACCAAGACCTTGGAAATCAAAAGAAGCCATTTGGCGTTCCAGATGAAATTGCCATAATATTAGAACAACACCTCGACAAAAATGAAGCTGACACTGATGAAAAAATTTGGCCCATCATTTGGGATTTTGCTGGACAGGACATCTATCGTGCTATGCATCCGATCTTTATGTCCTCAGATGACATTTATCTTCTCGTGTTTGATCTTACAAAGAAATTGAGTGAAAAAGCAGAATGTCGAGTCAATGTGGGACACAGAGAGCTTACTGCAACAGCCCTTAATGGTGAGGACACCAATTTAGATCACTTATTTAGGTGGATGGACTTGATTCACTCTTTAAAGAAGAATTTTCAGAGCGATGGTCTTTCGTATCCTCCAGTCATACTTGTCGGTACCCATGCTGACTGTGTAGACGATCCACGTCAAGCAATTGAATCTGTAGTAGAAGAGGAGTGTTCAAGTGTGTTCGATATAGACACTTATTTACCACACATCGCAGATTGTCTACCGATTGATAACACAAAATCTGGAAAGTCAACCGACCAGGAAGAAATCATTGAGTTGCGGAGAAAGATCTTGGAGTTGGCTGATACAATGCCTCATACAAAGAAAAAAATCCCTTTGCAATGGCATCGTGTTGAGAAAGAAATTTGCCAACCCGTCTGGCAACAAGAAAAGTATCTTCTACTGGAATCATTTCGGGAAAAGATGGTTTCACCCTACTGCACGTTTGAGGATGAGGGCGACTTTGATGAGCTTGTGTATTTTTTGCATGGCCGTGGAACAATAGTGTACCATGAGTATGAACATGATAAAAAGAAAGGTCTGATTGTCTTGAATCCCCAGTGGTTAAGCCATGTACTCTGTGAGATTATCAAAGTGAAACCAGATGATAAGGAACCTTGGATAATAAAAGATCGCAAGAAATTGGCAGAAAAAGGAGTTCTATCAGTGAACGATTAATTCATCATACCTGTAGCAAAGAAAACGTGGGTCTTATTAAAGACTCTTTGATTTCTTTGATGGATAAGTTCAACCTCATTTGCAAGTGGCCAGAAAAAGCAGAAGAGACAAACACAGGAGAATCACAGTTCCTGGTCCCCTGTATGTTGAATACCTTTTATAAGGAAAGGGACGAATTAGGAAACGCTGCACCGATTTACCTCGCTTTTCAAACTAAATACGTACCATATGGACTGTTCTGTCGACTGGTTGTGCTGCTTGTAAATTCTCCTCAGTTTAAACGGATGTACGGACTGTACGCTAATGAAGCCAAGATTGCCTTGGACAATGAAAACCATGTTCTTCAGTTGTCGTGCTACAAGGCAGTCATTAAGCTGCAAATTTTGGCAGACCATGGTGACACTCCTCCACAAAAGCTTTATGATGACGTTTTGAGGTAAACAGTATCGTGACCAAATTAAAAAAGAGTGTAACTAATACGCAAACTTGCGAGCCTTGAGTCCTTTTTGCGAGCCAAAAAATGGCTCCGGCTCGCAGGCTCTCACATTAGCAATTCCCGAATTTAATCAGAGGGGCAATGGCCGAGCTGTTAATGTAGCACCTAGAAATTCGAAACTGGAGGTCCAGGTTCGAGCCTTTGTCGCGCGTTGCTACTTAGAAAAGGAATTTTGCCCCGCTTTGTCTCTCTTCACCTAGTGGGTACCGGTGACATACTGCTGGGGGGGGGGGGGGG